GTACCCACTGTGGACATTCACAGTACTGAAATTACAATTTGCTTAGCAGCCTGCAAAATGGTGTTACTTCTATTAGCTTTACTTTGTTTTATCGAGCTAATGAATAATTTTATCAAATCAGCGTAATTTTATTTTATACTAATAACTTATTTTCACTTTTAGATTAGTGAAACACAACTCTAACGATTTAATTTCTGATACCGATTGGGCAGCACTATTGCGTACGTACTAGTGTTGCCAACACTTCTCCCACCGGACAATATACAAAAGTATAAACAACGAGTATAATACATCACCCTATTCTTAACAACGCAAAAACTGACGAAAAAAGCATCTAAATTTACGTGTAAAATACACACACAAATATACACACGTATAAAAATGACTCAGGAACTTGATTTTTATACACCTTTAAGGGACTCTAGACCTCAGTGTCTGGTGGTGATACACGGACACACAGACGGATAAGAGAGTGATCTTATAAGGGTTCCTTTTTTACCTTTAAGGTACGGATCCGGTGTTAATATGTTCAACATTTCTGTCCACAAGCAGAATGGGTAATAGTGGTCTAGTTGCGACTAATGGTTTAAGAGAGCTTATACTATAACACTACGAATAATGTGCATATTTTTATTTTACAAATTTATCACACGCAATGTTTCATAAGGGTTTTTACTCTAACGAGAATAAGGCGAAACAGTCATGTCTTACGAATTTTTAGCTTAGTGGGAAATGGATCACGTACTTACCTTTCTGCCTGCCTCGTTAGTGTTAAAAGCTTGGGAGGTTGTGTCTTAAGGCTGTTTTAAGAAGGCAGGCAAAGGTAAGGGCGCTCGACTAACTCTTTAGCCTGTACTCCGTCGAAAAGGCTAATTAACATCGAAATCGGCCCGCTGTTTTGACCTGAATCTAGCACTTGCAACGTTAATAGCTACTTACGAAGATTTATAAAGACAAAATTTAAACTCAGCCTTTGTCACCCAGCACTTATAACATTTAGGTATGGCAATTATTTTAATCCATATGAGTATTTATACGTGAAAGTAACTCTGTCTGTCTGTCTCGCTTTCACGCCAAAACTACTGAACCGATTGAAATGTAATTTGGTACACAGATAGTCAAGAGCTTGAGAAAGGACATAGGCTATTTTTAAATTGGAAAAAAGTTTTGTAAAGGGTTGAAAATTCTTAATATTTAATTAAAGGCTTAAACGCGAACGAAGCCGCGGGCGAAAAGCTAGTGACTTAAAAATTTAGTTATCAAATACTGTTTATGTACTACAACTGACAAAATAAAGAAGAACCTAAATTTTTTCTTAGTTTTTAACGCAAGTACGCCTAGATCTGTGATAGCCCAGTCTCCGGGCGCTCGCCTTTTATTAAGTATACTCGAGCAATCTGAGTTCGATCCCCGGTGCCGGCAGCAATGTGTTAAGTGCTGATTTATAACACGCTTCGCGGTGAAGGAAAACATCATGAGGAAGCTTCCATATATTTGAAATAATAACAAAAAATACATCGAAGATATGTGAAGTCCGCACATCCGCGGGGGGCCGTGTGCCCTGATACCCTCTGTATATAGGAGGGCTTTGCCCAGCAGTGGGACATGTATAGGCTGTTAAGTTACTTTTACGCCTTGAGACCTTCGTACATAGCCTTTGTCTTTTAACACTAACAGCTAATGCATTATACATCTCATTTTAAACTCTACGTATGCATGATCAGCAAAAGCGCGATAAACAAAAGTAGCAAATTGTATTTTGAAAAAAATAAAAAGATTCGGACTGGCAACCTAAGAATATACCTCGAACGTCCCGATGAATGAACATCTACTACCTTGCTCGGTAAAAAAAAACAGATTTAATTATTCAGGTTTTACCAAGATGATAGAGTCATGGATAGAATGGGTTATCTCTACCTACACCTTAAGTGCCAAGCGTGATTGTGCGTACATACGTGTTATTTTCTTATTAGAATTCGGCGTTAGTTTTCTTAGCGGATAATTACGCGGAACGACCATCGTTAGATTGCACAGCTGACGCCTAATCAGAGTTGAGTATACATTGAACCAGGCCTTGATGATTCAATAACGGTGCGTTAATTAATTCGACGTCGAAACGGGGACGGTCAGGAGCGAGTTGGGGCTCTTCGGTGCGGGTTCCGTGCTTTTATCCTCGCAAATGCATCAACGATGCACGTCTGTGCCTATTTGTTATCGATGCGTTTCTCTATCATAATGGAGAAGTGTATAAAACAATGACACAAGATTATCGATAGACTTTGTTCCTTATGACTATTCCTTATAACACTACTGACTATAAACGAAACTTAAACATAAATAGCGACTCGCCCCGGCTTCGCACGGGTGCAATGTATTATACATATAAACCTTCCTCTTGAATCTCTCTATCTAGTAAAAAAAACTGCATCAAGATCCGTTGCGTATTTTTAAAGATCTAAGCATACATAGGGACGGATAGACGGCGGGATGACTTTGTTTTATACTATGTAGTGATGGATTAAAAATGCGTCTAATTAAGATTTGAACTTGCCCAGTGTTCGAAAGCGGACAGCGACAGCTTTGAAAACGTGGATTGTAAATTGTAATTTGACACGATAATGTCCGTAAGGCGCTCAGACTCGACGCAAATCGATGCTTTTCTCGCATTGTTGAAGATTCCGTGATGCGACGCAGATAAGTTATTTTTACGCGCCTCAGTCGAAGTCACGCTCTTTATCGTTGGGATGTGAACCAAGAGAATGATGGGTCGGGTAGAACGAATTACTGTACAGATGATGGATGGAGGCGTCCATTTGTTTGAAACCTCGTTTGTCACTCGCTCGTTTTAATTCAATACTGAACCAACGTGTTAAATAAATTAGATACTTATTTATTTATCTTAACGTTCCTTGTACTGCTCCACCCGAGACCTGAAGCTTGTAACATTTATCAATACATTCTTGGAACAAAATAAATGCAATGAAAAACAGTGCTCTAGAGTGATAATGAACTTAATCGGTTGTTACGTCGTAAAAATGCATGCTTTAAAAACTGTAGCGAAGTTTTCTTATCTGGTTTTCACTGCCTAATACGGAACGCTAAAAGTTCCTTCGACTATTATTAAACCCTGCTATAAATAATAAAAAAGTCTATTTTCGCCCGCGCGTCCGCAGCGGTGAGTCATAAAGGTCGGGCTGTGTTTACGGGCGCGGGGTCGTCGACCCGCACTGTGCGGTAACCTGATGTAACCGAGTTTTGTTGTATTTTTTTTTCTCGCCGGCCGAAAAACCCGTCACTAATTTAATTTATAACTGTCCGCCACGCTTCTATGCTTGTTGTATCGCTGTGTGAATTTTACGATCGGAAGTAATGTTTTTTTTTTTTTTCGAAAACTCGTTTTTTATCTACGGCGAAAACCGCGAAAATGTGGGAACACGTATTGATTCACCTTCCGGTTTTGTAAAAATAGCGTAGATATTACGCATAAAAAGTAATTTTTTTGTGCTCCTTGTTAAGGTAATTTTCCGAGTTTTTGGATAAGTATTACCGCGGCTAACTACTTTCTTTAAATTTCTTTCGACGGATTTGAAAATCTCATGTTATGTAGTAAGATTCGCCTCATTTTTGTGATCAACATACATTTTTTACACAACATATACTGTTAACCGCTGTTTCGCGCGGCCAAAGGAAATTAACAATGAGTTTTTTAACACCAGAATATCTCGCAGATAGCTAGATTGTTTCCTACTTAGTAGACACTTATCTTTAGAAGTTATAGCCTATGTTTTATTCTGATGTATAAGCTATATTATTGTAAAGTTTAAATAAAATCTATTCAGTAGTTTTTGCGTGACAGAGTAACAAACATTCACCCATACGGAAGTAAGGATATTACGATCGCTAAAAAAATAGGAGAGTAATTATTAAATATTATTAACTAGTTAATGTTAATAACGTAGTCGTTAATAAAATAATTAAGGTTTTTGTTTTATTTAATATTTTTTCATGTTAACTCATTTTATATTCGCGTAACGCATTTGGCAGTAACTTTAGTCGTTATAGCCAAAGGTCGCCCCTTGGTAGAAGCCACTCTGTGAATTGCTACAGATAATGAGTTTCTATCTATTATATGTCTTCATGAATATGTTTACTGCACTCTCGGCTGTATTATTGCTATGTCTATGGTCTTATCTTAGTTCGGTGTTCGTAGTACGAATCAGTTGATAGATCAGTTATTATCTGTCTCTTTCCGTTATATTTTTTTTATTGTAAGCATTGACGTTCACAAATGGTCGATTTTTTTTTCGATTTGTAATTTCACAAATTTCAAATAAATAATTTCAAAAACAGAAATTAACCACAGTCATCATCGTTTTGGATTGGCGAAAATAGAACTCAAGTCGAACCGGTGATACTGACACGTAACCCATTTTATTTAGAGTCCAGTTTTGAAGATCATTGCCATACTTCGCAATAAATTAACTACGAATGTGTACGCGAAAACAGTAAAACACCTTACGATATAGCCATCATGGACGGGGGGGGGAAAGACACATAGCTGAAGTTATTGACTTTAAAGTGAGCTCGTTAATCCTTTCACGAGACAGATGCGTTGTAACTTAGTTATGTACATATATGAAGTCCGCCAATCGTAATCGTAATCGGGAATATGTAGCGACAAGTACCCGTATTTTCGTAACGAGACAAATACATACAGATATAATACTCAAATAGCTTGTATACATCGCTAAAATCACAGCACTAACCAAGCTCGACTTTACAGCAGAACACGAATGGGCAGGCTCATCTGGGAATACTTCCGTACTCAGAGGAGACCAGTATGAAGCGGATGCAACGGTACCGACTTTTTACAAAGGTTGTCAATGCTTCTGCAAGCCATCAATTGCTGCAGATGTCCCATGGGCGGCGGTATTCGAACACGAGATGAGCCGCACGCTCGCTTGACGACAATTCACGTAAAAAAAGCATCGCGTCCATTATCTATCGGCGGAGGCAAAGGCACTTGAGCACTTAGGCCGTGTGGCGGCCGCAATTGTCACAATAGCGTAACGACCAGAAAACGCCGACGATCGGATGTAGCCGAGTGGATCATTAACACTCGGCTCGCTGTGAGACTCGCACTCGTGATTGGAGTCCAGTTTAGCCGTCACTCTTCGTTTAGTTCGCGGACTGTGCCGCCGTTTGTGCGCCGCGCCCGTGGGAATATTTTGCATGGCACCTTGGCTGTTGGCAACTGAGGCGGTTCACCTGTTGCCAGGGGAACTCCGCTACTGGATAGGCGCCAGAGACGTCGCAGTCATTCGAAATCAAAATCTCTTTGTTCAATAATAGCGACTCGCCCCGGCTTCGCACGGGTGCAATTATACGTATTAACCTTCCTTTTGATTCACTCTATCTAGTAAAAAAACCGCATTAAGATCCGTTGAGTAGTTTTAACAGACAGACAGCGGACGAAATCAGACACGTTCACACGATATTGTTTATAGAGGTAATGGATAATGTCCATTGTATACAATGTTACCTGCAGGCAGGTAAAAAATTTATCTTCTCCCTGTCATAGATTTCAAATCCATCTTTACTCAATTACGGTATCAATTCTTTCCCGTTTTATACCATCGAAAGTACTTCAGGCCTGTCCAAACAACCTTTAAGTATTCACTGCCTGAATTTAAGTCTGGACATAGCACTGTCCCGTGCTTCTTAAACATATTGGTGATTTGGAAGCGGGCGTTTAAAGTTACTTCGTTATCTTTAGTCGACATCTTAAACTGTGGTATAGCCGCTGTTCGGACAATTCGAATAGAGCCGACGTTCGAATTGGCCGAACAGCATCAACCTCTCACTCACCAGACGAAACGCAGAAGTGTGACACTTCTACTTTACGCCGGTCTTCTGTGAGGTACTTACCCGGACAGATCTGTCCATTCGTGCAACAGTGAACACGTGGTCACACGCGTGGTCCTACCACATATATTATTAAAATATGGCAATTCATCTGCAACCCTATGAGTGTTGCAAATATCCATGGGCTACGAATATCATTTGATGGTTTTAAGCCAGTTCACTTACCACCTTTACACAAAAAAACACCATCTGTTTCCTAGCTCACCGGCGGGGGAGGGTCTGTTGGGAAAGTTTGTAAATAATAAAAAAACTACAAACTCAAACAGCACAGGTCGACGCAGCTCTCAAACATTTATATTGAACGGTAAACAGATAAACGCCGGAGCGAATCCAATTGAAAGTCCGATCGATGGGATAGGATGGAAACGGGAAAAAATTTAATAGAACATAGCCTTAGAATGTAATCTTTGCGAGCAGTTATTGGATAGAGTGCTAGAGAAATTCTATAGTTTCCGTCCGCCTAGCGAAAGTACGGGGGGGGGGGGGGGGGGGTACATAATGGAGGCAATGGAGGGAGGGGAGGGAGTCGGTATCTATTCGCCCTAGATGGCCGAGGCGATTGGAATGCCCTACAAAAAGGACGAATTTGGGATTTGCGTCGGATGAGAGGTATTGCGTTACTCAAGCGCACGTAGTATACGTTAGGTAATCTTGTTAAATGAATTAACATTCCTCTAGAGATCTGTTGAGAAAATAGAATGATGTAGAAAAAAAATGAGATGTACATATTTTCAGACCAGATAATGTACTCTCTGGTTGTTATTCTTTGTGACCGTAGTTCCTTGGACGAGACGCTGGTGCAAGAACAGAAGTTCCTGCTAAACCCTACCTAATAATAGAAAGGCTTCAGCACGTGAGGTAACCGATAGCTCGTAGCCAACTGAGCCATCAAATAAAATTCTCAATTAAAATACCATTAACGCATTTAGTGGTACGACACCAAAAACTCCAATAAAGCCTTTACAACAACAAAGCAATCGATTTTCCACTAGAAATACATTTCGAATTTGTCAATCAATTAATTATTGGTATCGAAACGAGAATAAAGAAAAAATATGACGCACTTGAATTTACTTCCAATTACGAATTCGCAAAGCAATTGGGGAAATTCGGTTTATCTAACACAGTCTCGTTCTGTTACCGTATTGGCGTTAATTGGTTTGCCTTTATTTGAACGTTTCAGTTTGAGATATTTTGTTCGGCACGAGGGAAATACGAGGCATACGTCGAATGAGGTCAGCCTGTAATTAGGCATTTAAATATATTAAAAATGTATACGAACCTGCGTTAAGATACAACCTGCCAGGTTGTATCTTAATGCTAGTTAATTTGGTCGCTGACGACTATTTTCGGCCGCTAGTTATGGAATATTACAAAACAGTGTGGCTTTACTTTGAACACAAATACAAATCTCTGCTATCTTTGCTTAACACCATTGCCTCGTAAGAATGCAACTATAAAACAGTCATCAAAAAAGGTTTCCATGTCACTATGTGGTAGATGGAGATAATAGCAGAGATGTAAAAATCTTCAGTAAAGCTGGCGATGGTTCTTGGAACATCCTAGATGTTTTTCTCTGCCGAGAGACAAAATCTTTGAAGCGAAGGTAATGTTTCCAGTTGCTGCGTATTCCTTGGCATACTATAAGAATACTACTGCGTATACATACTATAAGAACACTATACGTGAGACGACAAGAGTTTGCGAAAAGTAAAAAGAAAGACTGGCTCAGAGCTCGAAGCGGTTTACATGAATAATATCTGCAAATTTTTAATTACAAAAGAGGATACAGTATAAAGTATCATTTAAATAAATAGACATAAAGAGTCGTTTAAAAGCTATGTAACGAAACACACTCTACTAAATCCCGCGCTTTTAAGTAAAAGTATAAAATATACTTTATTGTACACCATAGAAACACAACAATAGAATTCCAAAGACGTATAGCAGTAACAGTAAAAGAATTAGCAGTAAAATAATTAGGTTTTAATAATATGGTAGAAAGGCAAAAAATTTAATATGATGTCACTTTTTTGACGTAGACCTGTTTGACGTGAAATTATTGTTTTCAGTAGACTATATAAAGCAGTGATGTTACAACTTAAAACAGTGTCTGCTTTATTTGTGTCCTTCAAAGCGGTGCGGAAACGAGATGTGGAGTCAATCAATGAATGGTCTATCGGTGAAATAAAAGGACCAACTTAGAGAGCGCGACATTCGCTTTCTTCATAGCGATCGTAATTGAATGGCGGTACGGCTCTATTGGTTTTCCGCAACATGGCGAAGTTTTAACGTTCTTTGAGGGCTGGCTGATGAAGGTTTAAACAGCACTTGGAATATATATCGAAAGCATCATTAAATAAAGCCATATTTACTTTTAGTTTTAACTTATGGCTCAAGACTTCGTCGAATGTAAACGTTTTAAATCAGTGGAGTACAAAAACTATATAGGTAAAAAATCATATGTTTCCTTTTATACAGCGTGTGGTTACCATCGCGACAATAAATGAACACACATATAGCGGATAACTTTTTAAAGTTGTAATAAACATTTAAATTCTTTAAACATCAATATTTACAGAGTTATAAAATTTTCCAAAATAAAGAATTTTAGAACACCCTTACCTATAAAAGCGTAACGTAAAGTTCATTTGTAAAGGTCACAAAGCATATGAATGGGTTGAATGAACTTAAAAGAGACAAAATATACTGTTAGAAGGAGAGGCTTGTAATGCGACGCTATGGCGCGAGTTGTATAGGATGTTACAAAGTTTGTTTCTTTTTTACTTAATTAGTTTGTTCGAAAAATATTTTTTTTTTTTAATTATGGATTTTGTTTAACGTTAATATTTTTTTATGATTATTGGCAAGTAGCGTTAGACGTGTGTTCATTTATTGTCGCGATGGTAACGACACGCTGTATATGTCCTAATCAAATATATTATGGTATATCATTTTTTAAATGACTGTATGTCAAATAATATAATATAATACATAGGTATATATTTACGTTGCCAAGCTAAACTGAAATTATATTTTAGAAAATATTAATAAATTTGTTGAAATCTGTCAAATTAAATTAATTAATAAACAAGCATAACCGCCGGGCTTATGTATTTTAAGTATAATTTGTTGCGGGTTTATTTGGTTTCAATTAATTAACCGGTGGTAGTTTTCGACATGCAATAGAGTTTGAAACGAGTTAAAATTGAAAAAGAATGATAAAAAAATTCTGAAAACTAGAACCTTCGATCAATACGAAATCAGACTTGCGGGGAAAATTCCTCCCCGAGAATTAATTATCTAAGTGACGTTAATTAATTAATTATAGTAATACATTTCCATTGGGGCTAATTGCTGATTAGGCTGTTAGATTAATTATCTTTCGACGGCGGCGGCATGTCGGGTCAACAACTATCTACTGAGTCTAGGTTCGAATTCAGATGAACAGACATTGCCACAGTACTCAAGAATAGTATTATATGACACGAGAGATAGTTACGTGACAAATTCTAAGGTTTCATTCGATCTTCACCTAAATGACGCATCCTTTATATGTCCTATGTATAGGTACAAGTAAAGGATGTGGATATGTTATATGAGTTGGTTGGCAAATTGAGAGACATCGGTGCCGAAGGTTGCGGGTTCGATTGCCACAAGAAGTATTTTATTGTGACAACAGCAGACAATGTTGATTGATGGTGTTTGTAATTCTATAATTTACTTACCCTAAAACACAGGAAAATATAAAATCCGCAAATTAGTTTCAGTAAAATGTACCGTTCGCGTTAGTATAAGAAATCATTATGATAAGTATTTCTATATTTGCCATTCTACTGGTAGAGTTGGCGGAGTCCTCTTAACAGATGAATTGTCTCTCTCTTTCTCTCTCTAAGAAAAAGAAGACGTGTTCATGATACTTTTATTATTAGCCTGCACGTTAATGCTATAGTTCTAAGGTCCTTATTCAAAAATCCGCTCTAACGCATTCTTTACGACTCGACATGTGATCTATCTGCGCTTTCGTATAAAAGTACCCCAATTTCAATTAAAACGCAGCCCGTTGCAATAAACCTTTGCGCCGGATGAAATTGCCTCGGCTGCCGTCCCCCTCGCTCGTCAGCCGGTCACGTATGCCCGTCCTGCTCGCACGTACGTCACGCGCAACCTCCAAACGGCTCCATTGATTGCTGGGACCCGGACATTCGGATAATATATATGTACGGCTGGAACGGCTTTTAGAAACTCAGTTGTACAAATACTGTATTGCTGAAAATGTTTGCCCGCTCTCAAAGTTAGGCGAAATATA